GAAATGCTGTCTTTCCAGGGGCCTGACGGGGCCGGACGCTGGGAGATGATGAGGCCCGCGGTGGGGCGACAAAGAGCTGAGCATTTGTAAACTTCAGAAGGTCCGATCTGGAAGGGCCTAGAGAGAGCTCTCTGGCTAGGGCAGTCCCTCCTTTCACACACAGGGACACCGAGACCCAGGAGACAAGGGCTGTCTCTAAGGACACCCAGTAAAGTGAAATGGATCCAAATGTGAGTTAAAAGGATATTTAACCTGGCAGTTTGAGGGAGAGCTGGTCAAGCAAGGAAAAGCCAAGGCAATTTATTTTTAAGACCAGAGAGAGAGGGGGAAACGTTAGCTTTGAGAAGAAACACTATGAAAGTGATTTCCCAGACAAGGGCGGAGGTGGGGTGGTGTGATGGAGAGAAAAAGTAGGCAAGACCCAGCTCATCTAAATTTAATTTTGATCAGTTTGAATGGGCTGAGATCTGCGCCTACGCCTCTCGGTGTTAATATCGTTGGGCGTCGGCGTCCAAGCCCCGAGTTAAAGTAAACTCCTGCCAGGCAGGCACTGCTCGCCCGAGCCGCTCTACAGAGATCCTTTTTCTTTGGGTTAAAAAAGAAGAAGAAGAAGAAAAAGAAAACACAAAAAACCCACAAAAAAACACAACACACAGTTAACCACCTGTCAGGGCTGAGGATACAATGAGGCTCCTCGAAAAAGAGCTTTTCATGCATGCGTAATATATTTGTTCAGCTATTCACTTAATGAAGCTGATAAATGTGATGCAAGACAATAGTCAAGTTAATCTATTTAGTAAAATGTTTTGAGACTTTCAGGCTACGTTAAGGAGGGGAGCGTTCGGCGACATTTTCATTTAAATGCGCTCATCTCCCCTCTTAGGCTGCACAGGGGGGTTCAGGCAATCTATGTGAATATAATTTCTTATAAATGTGTCTTTAATGGGTTTAATTCACCCTTGCCAGCTGTTTTGGGGGCTATTTTGTAAGAGCAAAACAAACGTTTCAGGCTTGGAAAGCTAGTTAAAATTAGTTTCGGTCAGCGAGGCCAAGCTATATTTCCTGCAAACCATCTGCTTGATTGGCACAATAGAAGGATTTTCAAGGAAAAAAAAGGGGGGGGGGAGTGAGTGTGAAAGGAATGAGGAGTGGGGGGAGGCGATAGAAAGGGCTGGGGGGGGCGGTAGTTCCTTGTGGCCTATTCTGAAGGTGAACCCCTTAGAGGTATCTTAATAGAGAGGCTTGCCTAGAGGGCTGGGACGATTGGAAAGCCCTTTCAGCCGGAGCCTCGTCGCCCTCCTCTTTTGCCCAGTGGGTCAGCGCCCTCTTTTTCCCCAAGACCGGAGAAACCAGGCAGCGGAGGCCTTCCCCCCCTCCCCCCCCCCGTGGTCGCCTTTCTGCGTCCGGCCTAACTTTTGAGGCTCGCTCCAACCTTTGGCAACCCCAGGCTCCCGGCCGGGAGGTTCAGACCCTTGCAAAGTGCTACCTTGAGGTCCCAACCTTCCCTAGCTTAACTCTGGTTATCTTTTCTGAAGGCCGGGAATCTTAAGTCACTCTATATACTTTGCAGGTCCTTTTCCCTGTGCGGCCTGCGCTTACCGAGGTGCTCCCGGCTCCGCCCACAGCGCAGAGGGTCCCACAACTGCAAGAGCTCGGCGCGTGGGGCTGGGACCCGCCGGCTCTTCACTGCCCGGGAGGAAAGTAATTCGCCAGAGCGGGTTCCGAGAGCCCACCCTGCGGTGCCAGGGAGGGTCCGGCAGCTTTGGCTTTGCAGGCCCCAGGAGTCCCGGCCAGCTCTGCGACAGCCTCCCCCAGCAAGCGGCAGCGCCTGCGGCACCGGCAAGGACCTTAAGGCCAGCCAGGGCCTCCGAGTTTCTCTTTTCCACTCGCGTTTTTTCCCTTGAAAGAGAAATAAACAGCGCAGCTCTGGGAGACAGGACGTGACCGACTTCTTTGAAACAAACTTGAAGATAACGACATTACAATGAATGGCAGGACGCACAAAACCCCATGGGCTCAGGTCAAACGGCATTAGTCACAGGTCTTAGCCGCAGCCGCCGGGCCGCGCAGCCCCTTAGGCTATCGCGGAGTTTGAAAAGACGCGTTCAAGGAGATCACTTAAAGTAAGATCCTTTCGTACGATTTCTTGCTTCCTTAGGATTTATTCTGCCTTTTCACGGGCGGCCAGCCCTCGCCCCCCGCCCTCGCTTTTCCTCTTTGCGCCTTAGGAATTCTTTAGGGGGCTCTGCAGACGGACCGCTGAGGCGAGGTCCACGTGGATCTCAGCAAGGGGTTGACCCACCTTCCAAAAAAGTCAGGGCCCCTTTTACAAGCTGTGAAGTTAGCAGCAGTTAGTCTATAGTAAGGCAGAATGACCCTGGGGCGGGGGAGGCATGTGCACGCGCGCGCGCGCGCGCGTGGTAGTAAAGGGCCAACGGAGCGTGTCAATCTGCAGAATAATAACTAAAAACTACACTCAGGGAAATGCCCCAGCAGGAGAAGAGGCCTGGGGAAGAGGATGGCACTCGGAGGGCCCCAGACTAGCTTTGAGTTCTGAGCACTCCCCCCCCCCCCCCATCCCCTGCCAAAACCCCTGCAAACGGAGGCTCTATTTCTATCTTCCGGAAGACCCGGCAAGCGCTTCACTGATGGGTAATTTAACACCTGCAGTTACCGCTCTCCTCCAACCCTGGAACAGGCTACCGCTCCAGGCGGGGAGGAAAGGGAGAGGGAGGAAGGTAGGGAGAAGTGGAGGAAGGTGGAGGGCGGAGGCATCGGCGACCGACGGAAAATTAGAGATGAGAAGAGATGGAGGGAGAGAATGCAAAAAACAGAGCGGATCTTCCAGCTTCCAGAAAGCAGTTGGGGACAGGGGTAGCGGGAAGTTGACTGCATGGAAAACTTTTGTCTTGTAGCAAGATGAAAGTGCAGGTGTTCAAACAGTTTAGGCTTTTCTCTCCCATTTTATTGCAAGACTTCAAAAAGAGAAACTTTGGAAGTTGTTCACACACGTCCCTCGTGTTTCCAGGGGTCTCCAATTAACTGGAGCAATGCATCTCGCGTATTTAAATAGTCACTTATTTAAAAGTCGTTCCTTTCCTTAGAGGTTTTCCACAGCCTGCCTGGCCAGGACACCTCCATAGGAGTCTTGGGCTCAGAGACTCCATACTTGCGTCATCGTAAAGCATTATAATTCGGCTCCAGAGCCTGGCCCTAAATAACTTTTTAATTTGAATCAAGGGAGAGCTTTAGCGGGCTCCGTTTCTGGTTTAATGTGATATAAATCGCAGATGCACTTTTATTGAATGGTTAAAGCAGCGACATGGAGATCATCAACACAAAACGCCCTGAACAAAACCATCGAGAGAAATAAAGCTGGTTAATAAGATTTTTGAGAAAGCTTTGTGTTAAAAAGCAAAAAGGAAAACCAGCTGAAGGTGACAGTTAGTTCATGGTTAATAGGATCAGAGCGGCCTGGCGGGGCTGCACACTTCTCTTTGGGGAGGTTCAGCCACACCAAAGAAATGAATGGGACATTTAACACATCTGTTATCTTGCCGAACAGAGAAACGGGGGGATTGAGGTTCAGCATTACCCCAGCCCCAACCCCCCAGTAGAACGAAGGACTGTCTCCAGGAAGATTCTCCTTTGAGGCCCCAGAGTAAGCATAGGGTCTCCTGACCTTAGACTAGCATTCTTGGGAACTGCGTTCTTCACAGGCTGTTTTCAGGTGTTTGTAAATTTGCGGTTAATTAAGAAGCTGCAAAACTTTGACCAAGTTAAGCACCCTGCAATGGGTAGGGCTATCTCGAGGAATCTCAACTTTTGCAGCTATGGCTTTAAAAGTCCAGGCAATAAGTTTCAAATGAAACTGCTGAGGGCTCCTTGAGGTGGGAAAGGGGCCAGCATAGCACTTCCAGCATTCAGGTCACCTGGCCTGAGGCTTCTCAAGTGGAATCCAGAAGCTTAGCCCCGGTGCTTTGCTCCTCTCTGATGCTCCCCCAGGTGAGCTGCGGAGTGCTCCTTAGAGAGTTGTTGCTGAAATCGTTTCCCAAGTTTCTGGGAGTTGCTGAAGGAGACACATTTTACCACTCAGATATCTACCAACTCTCTCAAACTCAATTAGTTTCCCTACACGAAATAACTCAAATCAAGACCTCCCCCTCCATCCCTATGGACCCCAGCTAATAACCACAAAGCGTTAATTCCAAATCTCCCTGTGTTGTCAGACTGGCACCCCACAAACACTGAATTTACCCACCCCTCACATCTGCTTTACGCCTCAGCTGGAGTAACCTATACAGCTAGAGACTGAAGAAGGGTATATATTTTCATGTTCACTGACTTGAAATTTTCCATTGCCCTCCCCACAAGGGGGAGGGCTATTTCACTGATTGCCTGGAGACGAATTTCTATGAATATTTATTGATTTATTTTCCAGACTCGGCAGGGGAGCTGCAAATAAATTTAGTGCGTTCTTTAAATAATTCCTTTTCTATGAGGCAAGATGTCATCTGAAACTTCTAAATAGGCATTTAATTAGCCCGGGTGTTGCTTCGGAACAAAAACTCCCAGAGAGAGCTTTGGGGGCGCACTGTATTGCAAAGAGGCGGTCGATATGCAGAATTGATGCGCGCCAGCCTTTGTTGCCGGCCCATTGTGCGGGCCATGCTTATGAAGACTAATCCAATCATAAATTGCACCCCTGCGCCAATCAGAACGCCCAGAGCCTCCGGCGAATGAAGCTCGAGTGGAGAACTTTGTTGAACTTCATTGTCAGAGCTGTCACTTTTCAAAGCGCTTTAACGGGCGGGCCACTATAAAACCATCACCTCGACGGGAGGACCACGAAGGACTCGCAGACGCCCAAGTGGGATCATTACTTGGAGACGTTTGCTAAGCCCAAGAGAGAGGGCGTCGCGGGGGCGGGAGGGGCGGGAATCGAGGCATTTACCCTCAGGCCACTGGAAGAAGGGTTTTTCCGCCGCCCCGCGCCTAACATGATGTTCCCTGGCCTCCTCGCGCCCCCCGCCGGGTACCCTAGCCTCTTGCGCCCCACGCCCACCTTAACGCTGCCCCAGTCCCTGCAGTCGGCATTTTCCGGCCACTCGAGCTTCCTGGTGGAAGATCTGATCCGCATCAGCCGGCCTCCCGCTTACCTGCCCCGCAGCTTACCCACCGCCAGCATGTCGCCCCCTAGGCAGGGGGCCCCCGCGACTCTCACAGACACCGGGACTTCGGACCTGGGCTCCCCGGGTCCAGGCAGCCGACCGGACGGTTCACCTCAGACGGCCGCCTCCCCTGCCAGCGAGCCAACGTTTCTGAAGTTTGGGGTTAACGCCATCCTCTCCTCTTCGCCCAGAACCGGTAAGTGAGCGCAAAACACCGAGGGCCCGGCAGGTGCGAGCCCTTCTTGCCCGGGTTTCCTGTACGCAGCGGGCACCCACTCGCACATCTGCGCACATACACTTACGCAGGATCCCCGAGGCCCCACTCGCGCCATGTGAGGCTTAGGTCCAGCCAATTCCTGGGAAGAAAAGCCTCCAGGTTCGCCCCACCCTCAGAATGAACTTGATTACCTGAAGTCGGAGAGAGTGTCCGCCCCTAGGCGTGTTGTGTTTCTGCCCTCAAACTTTTGGAAGCCAGTTTTTACAAACCCAAGACAAAATATTTACTAGCTTACCTAGTATAATGGATCTACAATTCTTTTCTTACCCGCCCTAATACTACCTATCTTGTTAGTGCCTAGGATGAGAATCCGGACAGGAAGCCGACACTGAGGTGCGTGGGGGGAGGGGGGAGGGTGGTGGTGGTGGTGGTGGTGGAAGGTCTCCACAGATGGCATAATGTTAGGAAAAGATTTCTTTTACTCTGTCAAGACATTGAGGAAGATGCCTTTGAAGCCAGCTGAAGGGTTAATCATATCATGTATTCAATGTTCTGTACAATAATCAAGTACCTAATCAAATTCCCTTTCTGTCTCCTTCCCTCTTTTCCTTTCTTTGCCCTCTGCCAGAAACACCCCCTGCCTTACTCCAGAGCGTCCCTCCCAAGACCTTCGCCTTTCCCTATTTTGAAGGCTCCTTCCAGCCTTTCATCAGATCTTCTTATTTCCCAGGTAGGTCGCATCCCCCTTCCTGGGGGCGGCGCCCCAGCCCCAGCCCGTCGCTCCCTGCTCCGAAAGCCATATTTCTCCGTCCACCCCTCGGGGTTATGCTCTGGTTCAGAGGTTGCGAGGCGTACAACATTCACGAATCCGTCGCGCCAATTTGATGCCCTATTTAGCACAAGCAGTGACTGCTTGACACTTTGCACCAATTCCCTGCTCTACAAATTAGCAGGAATTGTCATGGTCCCAATTTGAGGCGGTTCCCTTCCCGGCGAGGAGCTGTTGGCATCCCTTCACGCCGCCGTTTTCCCACAGAGTCAGTGCACTTGGCCACGATTCCCCCACAAAGGTTTCAGCACCATGACCAATTGGTCAGCTCCTCCGGGCAGCCACACACAGACCGGCCCTCGCCCCTCCACGCCGCCGAGAGACACCTACCAGCCGGGGCTAATTTCTCTTTAAGACGCATTCAGGGTTTCTGGCTTTTCACAAGACCACATGGGGTGCCCTCTTGTGTGGGATGCCTAGGGTCGCCCAGGGGGAGGGGGACTAGATCCTCCTACAACCCCAACCTTCTATTTCCAACCTGATTTCCCAACCTCTTCTCATACCCTTCCCCCCACTGCCTTATCTTTTCTTAAAGACCCTGAGCTTCTAAAATAAGTCTGAGGGAAGCCCGTAACTGGGTCCTAATCTAGAGGAGAAACACCTTAAATTACACGAGGTTTTCATTCTGGAATCCCAGTAGTGCCTCAAAGTATAGCTCAAAACTTAGCACCTGGTCAAGATTTGGGAGCCAGAGGGGAGCCTATAAAGAGAAGAGAGACAGGACACGGTCGGTGGGGGGATGGGTAAAACCACAACACTCCCAAATATCAGCGAAAGAAATAAGCAATTGATTTTTAAAAGGGGGAGAGAGAATTCACCAACAGCCCCCCACCACCATTCATGCTGCTGCTGATAATGGAATTTGCTCCCTTTCTCCCTCATCTCAATGCTCTAACAAAAACAACCCGAGCCTTATAAATAGCTTTTCATGTCCATTTAATGAAAATGATTCCGGGAAGAGAAGCCTCTGCCATCAGTATTCTCTCAATGGTCTTGGGCCCGCAGTTGTGTTTAGTTTGAAAGTGTAAATCTCTTTTGTCCCAGTAATATATGGCTTTCGCTGCTTGTCCTCAGTCTTTTTCTGTTAGTTCATTACTACACAATTACCATTCACGCTTCATTAGAGTCTCTGTTTCTTTTTGGGTTTTTTTTCCCTCCCTTAAAGGAAAACTCTCCCCCTTTTTATCATGCCAATACCCATTGGGGAGCGGTCAATGTGCTAATTAGCTGCCACTTTTCATGTATTCGGGCCGAATTCTTTAAGTTTTGTGGGGGAGGGGAATAAAGATTAATATGAAAAAGATGAATGCTGATTGGATTTTTCAAAAAAAAAAAAATCCAAAGCGGATTTTCTTCCGTCAAATCAGGAAAGCACCTCATTTTCATCTGAAGAATGCAAAAGCCACCAAGGTGATAAAAGCATAAGGGGTAGAGCCAGCGGCCTCAGCTGGATATTTTATTTTTATTTTTGCAAAACTTTTTCTGTTGCTATTTTAGCTGATATACGCAGGTTTGTTCCCTTGAGACTGTTCCCCTGAGACTGTTGAATGGAAAAACGAAACAGGCCATTGTGGAGGCCGTTTTCTGTGTTTCCGTGGTTTTACCTAATCCGGGTTTGCCTGGTTGAAAGGGAAAGTTATTTGGGCGGAAAGCGCTTTTCAGTCTCGCAGGTTTGTAGGTTCCTGGCCTATTCTCCAAGAGGAGAGAAAGGAGAGCTTTAAAGAGATGAAGGGATCAGAGAGAAAGACCGAGGGAGGTCGCTAGGGAGGGGAGGGACGCCGCCCACTCACTCGCAACCCCCTACCCCCACCCCTCCGCAGCATCCTGCAGCGTAGTGCCCATCCCGGGGACCTTCTCCTGGCCGCTTGCTGCCCGCGGCAAGCCTCGCCGGGGCATGCTGCGTCGAGCCGTGTTCTCCGACGTGCAGCGCAAGGCGCTGGAGAAGATGTTCCAGAAGCAGAAGTACATCAGCAAGCCCGACCGCAAGAAGCTGGCTGCCAAGTTGGGCTTGAAAGACTCACAAGTGAGGGCGGTCTCCCCACACTTCACCCCTCCCCCACGCATCGTACAATTGGGAGGGTTCTCGGAAACCCGTAAGGTCCCATCCCAGGGACAGGGCAAGTAAGGTCTCGAGAGGGACTGAGCTCACGAGCCAGCTTCCTTGAGGCCACTCGGGACAGCCCACGTCTGTCCCCGCCCCATCTCTCCCCGGCTCAGCGCCCCTCCCCCCCGCCCCCCCCACCTGCGCCCAGCCGGGTCAGGTGCGTGAGGACCGGGCTAGAGGAGCTGAGGAGAGGGTGAGGGGAGGGTGAGTTCCTCGACCATCTGAACTCACCTCGGGGCTTGGGCGGCGGGCAAGGAGGGGGAGAGGGACGGAGCCCCTCCCCCACGCCCTCGGAGGGGAGGGCCTGCGATAACCGTTGCGCGTCCCCTGCTCTCTCCTTGCGGCTCCAGGTGAAAATCTGGTTCCAGAACCGACGCATGAAGTGGCGGAACTCCAAGGAGCGCGAGCTTCTGTCCAGCGGCGGCTGCCGAGAGCAGACCCTCCCCACCAAACTCAATCCGCACCCGGACCTCAGCGACGTGGGCCAGAAGGGCCCAGGGGATGACGAGGAGGAAGACGACGGCCCGGGCAGCCCCCGCCCCCGCCTGGTCTATCACGCGTCCCCCGACCCGCGGCACCTGCGGGACCCGCGGCTGGAAGGGCCGCTCCCTGCCTCGCCGGCTCACTCCAGCAGCCCCGGCAAGCCTTCGGACTTCTCCGACTCCGAGGACGATGAGGAGGGCGAAGAGGAGGAGATCACCGTGTCTTAGAAGCCCTCCCGCGCCCCGAGGACTGTTTAGAAGTGCTGTGAAATTGAAGAGGTGTGATTCAGTCTGCGTGTCCGCTTAGTCCCCGCTGTCTGGACGCTGCCGCTTCCCTTTGCAGAACCTCCGCCTGGTCAAGGGCGCCCCAGCTCCTTCCCTTGCCCAAAATGCCATTTCCTTCCCCCATGCCACCTCCCAACAGCTCTCTCTCCACGGAAGTGAAATTTAGATCTTGGTCCCTGCCTTAACTTTTCCTCCGGAGCTCCTGTCTTGCTTCTTGGAGGCTATTTTAAACAGTCCCTCCTGTAACCTGGGTTTAGCTGTGAGCCAGGCCCTGCTGGTCTTTAGAAGCAACAACTCTATAAGGGAGGAAACTCTTGATGAAGGAGGAAACAGAGTTAGGAGTCACAACATCAAGCATGTAACTCTAAGACCTCTGACTTCCTAGAGCCACCCCCAACCACCCCCTCCACCCCCGCACCCCACCCCTTCTTAGGTAGAAGGGCCTCCTACCCAAGTCCACTCTGGTCACCCAGTCTTTCCATAGCAGCTCCCTTAGATATCTGAATTTTAAAAATGAATTTTAAAAATATTATACACATATACACCTTCTGGTCCAAGGCACACAAATATTCAGTTTTTTCTGTTATATTCCAAATGCTCTCTGGGCAAAGAAGTGAGTTGTTGAGGAGAGAGTCAGACTCTATTTCTCTCTGTGTTTCAAAGCTGTTTCTTTGTAATTTCTGCATCCTTAGTATATGCACCAAGCCCTCTACCTTGTGCCCTTTTATTATTTCTGGGGAGATTACACTGACCTGCAAGACTCTTGAGCACTGGGCATGATGTAAGCAGAGAGAGAACCCACAACCTCTTTGATTTTGATTTTTTTTTTCTTTACAGAACTTTGCTGTCTTTGCACAGCTTTTATGAACTGTACACTATTTTGTACACATCTGTTGTATGGATATTCTATACCAATGTTATTGTGAATGACTATAAAGGATTGACTAGAGTTTCTTCTTTCTCTCTCTGCAATGGCTTTTAAACTTTAAAAAGGTAGCTGTTTAATTGCATAACTTATAAAGAAATACTTATTTTGTATTTTTACCTTGTACAGATTTTTATATATGTATATATGTATCAAATGAACAAATGCCAAATAAAAAGTAGAATGGACATAGTGGTCAAGTCTGTCATTAAGTCACAGAATGTCAGCGCTGAAAGGGATGGAGCTTCTAGTCCAAGTGCTACTAGAATTTATGGAAGGTAAGCTGATATGCAAGAGAGGATGGCACAGGTCTAAAGCCACCCAGCTGTTTAGTGGCCAAGCTGGAACTAGAACCCATCTCTGACTCAGGCCAGTGCCTTTTCTGCTTCCATATTTTCTATGGTTACAAGGAAAGTAGCTCCAGTAAAGTGGTACCACCGAGTTGAGTCTGCAGTAATCTTTCTTCTCTAAGGACTGAAATGATGGACTAAAAGAAATCAGTGAAAGTCAGGTTAAGCTGTTCAGGCTTATAATGGTTTTCCTTTCCCTTCTTGAAGATTTGTATAATTTCTATTCACCAGGGAAGCTCAAAATTGATCTTGTATTTTGTGTATAAATTGATTTTCTCAGGAATGTCATCTATAGCCATGACTTGGGAGCCCAGATACAGAGTCTGGGGTTCATAAGTGAAACTAAATTTCTTTAAAGACTAGCTTTCAACAGAAACAACTTAAACACAACTTAGGAGTAAAGAACATCAGGTAGAACCCTGATAAAGGCTTCTGTGTGCTTTCAGAGATTGGTTTCTGCTGCCTCAGCCACACAGACCCACATTTCTTTATTATCCTAACCCATACCCCAATAGTTGGTGGGGGGGGGGGAGTTGGTAAGCTTAAATTTCAATAATTTGTATCCTATTTGAAATTTGAATTTTTCTATTCTGTTTAATTCTCTGTTCAGATACCATGAGCCCTCTCTCCATGTAAAGTTCTGATATCCTCCTGTGCGGGGCCTGTTCCTGACACTGGTGATCACTATTTTCATTATTATTTAGAAATGATCCTGGGAACTTGAAAAAAAAATTATTGTCAAAATTATCTTAATCCAAGAAACCTTCATATTTCCCTCTCAACACATATGAAAGTACCTAGCATGGTGTTCTGTCCATGGTAGGTATATAACCTTTTAGGTGAGAACCTCTGCTCTGAGTGATTCAAGCTATTTTCTCCTTCCCTCCACCATTGCCTGGACGTCCATCCATATATGCGATCCTGACCAGAGTGGCCCACTTTCCCCTCCCTGCTAGCTCAAGCCCACAGTTCTTACTTACCGTCAAGAACTATTTTCAGGCATGGGGATGGATTAGTGGCTACATTCAAAGTCCTTTGGGGACACCCTCATGTTCATTGTGGCGTTATTCACAATAGCCAAGAGATATTCACATTCTCATCATTCACGTCATTCACAATAGATTCTGCAACCTAAATGTGCATCGATGGATGAATGAATAAAGAAAACGAGGTATATACACACAATGGATTATTATTCAGCTTTAAGGAAAGAAACTTGTCACATGCCAAACATGAATGAACCTTGAGGACATTATGCTAAGTGAAAGAAGCTAGTGATGAAAAGACAAATACTATATGGTTCCACCTATATGAGTTCCAACACATTCAAACTCATAGAAACAGTAGAATTGTGGTTGCCAAGGGTTGGGGTCAGTTGGGGAAACAGCTGTTCAATGGGTACAGAGTTTCAGTTTTACAAGATGAAAAAGTTCTAGTGATGTTTTGTGCAACAATGCAAATATGGCTAACATTACTGAACTGCAAAGTACAAATGATTACAATGGAAAATGTTATATGTGTTTTTTAATCTCAATTAAAACATTTTTAAAATTTTAAGTAAATTGGAAAAATAACTCACCTGCTAGAAGAGTTAAAAATCCAGCAATGGTCAAAATTATGAGCAAATGAAAAAGTTCGTGGTAAACAATATTATCCTAATACAACATGAATGTATTACATAATATAATGCCACAGGCAATATATGATGTAAATAAAGTTTTTCTATATTAAGAAAAGTTAATGGGCACCTGGCTGATTCAGTCAGTAGAGCATGCAACTCTTGATCTCCAGGTTGTGAGTTAAAGCCCCATGTTGGTAGTAGGGTTTACATAAGAAAAAAGGAGACAGAGAATTTCTTTTTTTCCAGCTGGAATCATGGAAGGTGCAGAAGGGAAGAAAAAGAAAGTTCCTGATGTGCCAAGAACCCCCCCCCTTTTTTTTTTTAAAGCAAAGGAATCTTGCAGAGTTGAAAATCAACCATCTGAGAAGGAAGTTTGCCCAAACGATGCTTCAGAAGGCAAGGAGGAAGCTTATCTATGAAAAAGCTAAGCACTACCACAAGGAATATAGGCAGATGGATGGAACTGAGATTCTGCTGCCAGAAAAGCTGGCAACCTCGATGGTCCTGCGGAACCCAAACTGGCATTTGTCATCAGGATCAGAGGTATCCACAGTGTGAGCCCAAAGGTTTGAAAGGTGTTGCAGCTTTTTTGCCTTCGCCAGATATTCAATGGCACCTTTGTAAAGCTCAACAAGGCTTCAGGTACCTTGCTGAGGACTGTGGAACCACCTATAGCATGAACAAACCAGAGGTCAGTGAATCAACTGATCTACAAACGTGGTTATAGCAAAATCAACAAGAAGTGAATTGCCCTGACAGAGAGCACATTGATTGCTCAACCTCTTGGTAAATATGGCATCATCTGCATGGAGAATCTGATTCATAAGATCTATATTGTGGGAGAATGTTTCAAAGAAGCAAATAACTTCTTATGACCCTTCAAATTATCTTCTCCACAAGGGGCAATGAAGAAAAGGACTACCCATTTTGTGGATGCTGGCAACAGAGAAAATCAGATCGATAGGCTTATTAGAAGGATGAACTAAGGTATCCACCATGATTATTTTTGTAATCTGGTCAGTTAATAAATGACTACGTTCAAATTGGAAGGAAAAAAAAAAAAGAAAAGAGAAAAGAGAGAAAGAGAGAGAGAAAGAGCCTGGAGTTTGCTTCAGATTCTGTATCTCCCTCTCTCTCTGACCCTCCCCTGCTCACGCTGTTTCTCTCTCTCTCTCAGAAATAAATAAAACATTAAAAAAATTTAAAAAACTCCTCTATGCTTTTAAAAATCATTGAATATCTAAAAGGTTTTTTTGTAACTATGGGCTTTCTCTATCTACATTTTCGGTAGAAGAGTTTGAGACTGAGGAAAAATAAAATATTTATTCATCACTTCATTTTAAAACAGTTTCATCAAATATCAATATAAATACCATATTTTATAAAAAATGAATACATATTATAAAACAAAAAATAAAGAAGTATTGTTTTTACATTTTTGCAAATCTCTCTCATGGTTGGCTTGAGAGAGGACAACTGGATTCTCATATCTATTTCTTTTTTTAAAAAAAAGTTTAAATATTCACTTATTTTTGAGAGGAGAGAGAGAGAGAGAGAACGAGCAAGAGAGAGGCAGAGAGAGGGAGACACAGAATCTGAATCAGGCTCCAGGCTCTGAGCTGTTAGCACAGAGCCCAATGTGGGGCTCAAACTCATGAACTGTGAGATCATGACCTGAGCCAAAGTTGGGAACTTAACCAGCTGAGCTACCTAGCCCCCTCACCTTATCTATTTCTTCACTCTGTCATATGAAGAAAATTTGTCTTCATACAGATATGTAATTGGAAAGGGAGGATTTATACAGCTTTCTTAGATAATTGTGGCTATTCTTTGATACAACAGCAAAACTTGACAAGTGATAGTATTTTTTTAAAGGTTAGTCACAATTTGGAATCTAAAATCTTATCAGTGAACTTTCCAACTCTGACACACTGTAATCTATTGGTCTGTCTTGCATTTTGAATGGATATTTTACCCATGCATGGATTTATAACATCATGCATTGGTCATTTGGAAAATATTGGTTCATTGAGTTATGCAGATATGC